CTGTACTATTAACTCAGTTCACCTGGCTTCTGAGGGTTCACTTGCTTCTCTCTAAAGGCTGAAACATGAACTTATTCTTTCTAAATACTCTAGTGTACCAAACTGAAGCTCTTTCTTACACACATGCAATCCAATTCATGTGTGCCCATGGAAGTTATATGTAAGTGTATGGCAGATTTTACACAGGGATTTATGTACATGCACTGCATGAAGTACCTTTAGGTGGCAATTTCTGATATGTGACATACCATGTAAGGGAATTCACTTAATAAATGTCAGATAACTGCTCTATAGCTATCATTGGAAATACTAAGGAAAAAGGCAGAGCCCAAATGCACGTCTTTGTAATTCTGCTCATACAGCTATTCCTCCTGATTTTACCACTTCAGATGGTCAGATGAGGAGAAGTCTGCCCTTCTCTTTCTTTCTCTCTCCATCAAATTTGCCTGCCGTGCCATACAGTGTCTATGTATGCAGAAGATTATCACACAGGACATAAATTAGTGGAAAGTACTTTTACAAAACCTCTGTTCAGAAGTATGGGAAAGAGTAAAGGTTTTTAATGTAACAGAATTTCTGTAGTATGAAAATGAAGTTGAAAAGAAAAATAGTAATAAAAACTACACAGACAGTGCTCTTTACACTTCTTTGATGGACTTAGCAATATTGTCAATAGACTATTTTTTTTTAGACTGCTACAAGCAGTTAACGGACCTTAAGCACAGGATTATGAGTTCTTAAGACCATTGTGTGGTTAAAGAAGAACAACTACATGAAACACTGAATGTGTAAGAGATATAGCCCACACTATTTTGCAGTGAATTGCATGTGTAACCTATTTGACGACTTATAGTATAATCTTTTGGCTGGTTATTTATAAACCAGTCAAGTTATTTTTCTTTTATTACTCTGAACTCTACTTGAAGAACAGTGATTCATTCTCCACATGCTGTTAGCTCCGTGGCTTCATGCTTTGCATGTGGGCAAGTCAGGCTGAGAGAGGATTGAGAATTAACACGTGAGGATGTGTTATCTGTACAGAAACCACCTACAGTCAACAAGTTTGGAAAGAAAATTCAGCACCAAATAGGACCCAACACAATCCTAGTGTCTGCTCCCCTGCCCTAAATCCCCAGTTTCCCTTGGTTTCAAAAAGACAGATGAAACTTATAACTGAAGGGCAATGGAAAAATATTAAGGTACAAACAGGAATAATACCTGTTTGTGTCTCAATACAAGAAACAGACTTCCTTCATGCCACAAAGGTTACTTTAAACCTTGCACAAAAGCTACTTGCAATGTTCAGAGGGGTATTTCTGAATGATTCCCTTCCACGGCTTCTTCAAGAAAGGTCTCCCAATGGGAAAGCCGGTTCAAGACTAGTGCTGAGAAGGAAATTTTAAGGGACACAGGCTTTGCCTTATGTAAAAGAATGAGTGAAGAGAAAAAATAGTAGTTTCTCTCAAACAATTTCACTGAACAAGCTTATTCTTTGGGGAAATTGAATGTACCTACATTATATCCTATCTACACATCCTCCTCCTACTGTTTTCCCTGTCACTCTATTTCCATTGTGTCTGTGTGAGAGCAATGTTAAGCATCAAACTTCTAAAAATGATCCTAGCTTCCTAGCAACTTTAAATGCCTCTTTAGCACTTAATAATAAAATTATATTGGTTTGTAGGTAGTGTTTTAGAAGCAAAAACCAAGACACTGCATTTTTTAATTAGAAAACTCACTTTCCCCTGCCTCAGAAGAGAACAGCTTAATGGATCATTTAGGATAATGGCAAATTTTCTCTTTCTGCTGCCTTTATTTACACTGCAGTGGTGAATACAGCAGCTGCTATTGTCTCTATTCCCTTACGGGGAGATTCAAAACATTGGTATTTCCAGAAGGAAAGTATCAACACATATGTCTTACCTTCAAGCCATATGAATCTCTCGAGCAGAGGTGGCAGTACTTTGTGACAAATATATCCAAAACACCACAACTCTCCACCGTGGCTCTTCTCGAGCTCTCCCCAGCTTTCAAGCAGACTTTTTGGTATTCAGTATTCACGGACCAGTGGAGGAGCAAAAATTGAAAGAAGGAAAAAAATCACCTGCCTGACCCCTGCAAACCGGGACTCCTGCAGCAGAAACTTGCTGTGGTTAACCCCAAGCTGAGCTAGCAAGTGCTAGAACTTCAGGAGCTCAGGGAGTGTATTAGCTTCCTGAGAAGAGGCGATTTTGGAGCAAAGCTCTCCTGCAGTAGTAATTCGCTGTCCATTTCTCTCAGCACATCGCTGTCTGGAAAAGCAGCAGCTCCATCTCCATTTCCCAGCTCCCAGATTTGGCTAGCTGGTAATTCAGAGCCGCCCCTTCCTCCTACGACGAGAGCCCAACAACCTGTTTCCACTACATTTCCCCTCGCTAGCCGCGGGGTGCGAGTTTCCGCAGCGTTTCCCTTTCTGCCTCGCCTGCTGGGGGGGCGGGGGGGGGGGGGCAAAGTTTCCTCCCCCGAATCCCACCGGCTCACACGGGGGAGATGGCGATGGGCGGCTCCTCCGCCCCGGGGTTACGGGACCGCGGTCCCCCGGCGGCCGGGGGCACTTAAGCACCGGGGACCGGACAACGCCGGAGAGGGGAGCCCGGGGGTGGCCGCTCCCTTCGCAGCCCCGAAGACAGGGACAGCGGCGGACCCGCCCCGAGGAAACCCCGCTGGGAAATGAGCCTTTCCCCGCCCGGCTGCCCTGCCCTGCGCACCGGCTTCGCTGGGGATGCTGGGCAGCCCCCGGGGACGTGGGCAGGCGGCCCGCAGCCCCTGCACGCACTCCCAGGTGAGTGCCGGTTGTGTCCTGCAGGGGCTTATGCAAGGGGCAGTCTCAGGGCTGCAAGGTTACTCGCTGCCCCTGCGTATGCCCAGGTCCGTGCAGAGCTGTCGGGCTTCACACGGAAGGCAGGGAATGACCCTCCAGTACGGATAGCATGGAAGAGGAAGGCAGAAATTTCCGAGTAAGGAAACTGTAGTTATTATTTCTACTGTAAACAGCTTGTACACTCTCTCTGTAAATAAAGGGGTCTATGCTGAAGAGGGGCATCACCCACCTGCATTCTTCCCCTGCAGAAAAGTCCCACCACACTATGCTCATGTGTATTTGCTAACCACCCAGGCTAAAATTCTCAACAGTGCTCCTGGATTAAATGCTCTCTGTAATGGTAAATAGATTTCTTTGCAATTCAGATAGCAAGAGAAAGCATTTCCTGCATGGATGATGAAAGTGTAGCTCCTGTTGCAATATCTTAGTATCTTCTTCTAGTTTACTATCTTTAACACTACCTGATTTGCAAAGCATTAGGAGTCCATTTGAAGGGTATTTCCTAATAAAGCTCTTATTATTTTTTTTCCAGAAGTGGCTCAGTTCTCTTTTCTGAATGTGCTTTTCATGGCACCAAACGACACTGGACAAAGAGAAAACAGAATGAAACCGGTTCCTGTGGTTAGGTTTTAAACAGATTTTATTTCTGGAAGGGTTTCTACAAAGGAATGGATCTAGAATACTGATTTCAACCTTTTCTGACTGTGGAAGCCTAAACATTTTACAGCAGAGCTACTGAGCCCTTTAGGATATTGCATACACAAACTGCTATGAAGTGCACATACACTTGTCTTTCTGAGTCATCTTTAGTGTTAATGTCAAACCAAATTCTCTTGAACTTCCCAATTGTTATTGAAATAGTTTCCTTTTTATCTAAGTAGTGTTCCACTGGGAATTTTGCAGTACCAGGGAGGCCAAATGAATAGACCTGACACCTTCAGCACAGAACACAGGAACAGTCATGGGAATTGCTGTAATATTGTTGTTACCTGGATGTATTCCTCTGAAGTGCTGAAGTACTACTCAGGGCCAGTGTACAAAGTATTAGACATTGTTGTTCTGGTACACCTAGAACACAGATTTCTTGAAGACAAGACAGGAAAGTTCTAGTGCATATGATATTATGCTTGCCTCAAAGTAAATATATGTATTTAATGGATGGACAAGACTTTTCTGAGATGTTTATGCTTGCTTTCAGGACAGGAAGAATCTTGTCCTCTCTTAGCTTCTGTGGGCTTACAGTTGTGACACAAGTATGCTTTCCATCCAGTCGCCTATAAGAAAATTAACTACAATCCAAGTCAAGAAGACAGTAACTTAGTAATTAATAACTGGATAAGCTATTTAATGGATGAGATCTGAGTCTCACTGCCCCTTTGGCATCTGCATAGGCCTTTTGATTTACAGTGAAGATGTGCTTTACTGCTTGTAAAAGCCATATTGTTGCTATTACCACATTTTCAGTCCTACTAAAGCAGCTTTTATTCTGTTTGCTGGAATACTACAGACTAAGGCAATGGCTGGTCTGATAGAAGATGGGGCTTCATGTCACATCTCTTGCCTGTGCTAGGAATGCACCTCGTCTGTTAGTCTGTAATGTGAAAAACACATCTTCAGCTGATGAAAACTGCAAGAGACTTTAATCAGGCTATGAGCTGTCCCTATGAAGCTTAAAGGGAGATTCATTTCCCTCGAATTTTGTATCAAGAATTTCAATAAATGCCCTAGAGTTAGATGAATCATGGGAGAGAATAAAACACAATAACAAGAAAAACTGACATATAACAGCCCCCAACCCTGAATCTGAAGCCAAAATAAAATGAAAATTCAAACCCACAAGTATAACCTTATGAGAAGCAAGTTTTTTGTTTTGTTTTGTGTCTTTTTCCTAGCATATTTCCAGTTTGTGATTTCTCACTGAGGAAGCTCCGTGACTAGCTCTTTGGTTAGAGGTTGTTCAACAGCAGCTCTCTTCAAGTACTGAAGAGTTGTTACTGGTTAATATGAAGTAGACAAATATAGGACATAGCTCTTCTGATTTAAGGTACAGAAAAACTTGAATACAGTTCCTTGGGCAAATATCAGGAGTGTTCTGCAGTATTTTCTCAACAAGTGTTCTCTCTTTTTGTTGTTTTAACAGAAAACTTAGTAATCTGAACAGCACTGGAAGTGAAATAAGATGAGATTCCTACTGCACTGCACCATGGCACTGAAAATGTAAAATGGCAGTGAAATATCAGTCATCAAGATCCTCACAACAAGACAGCTTATTAATTTACTGTTGTATCACATGCTGCTGGTGTGGAAAGCAGAATGATCTGAAGAAAGCGTAAAACACGTAAGAAAGCAGAAGAAAGCATAAAAATGAAGAGCTGCATCAGAAGTACCTCACCTGACAGGCTCTGAGGTTCTGGCCTGATAGTTTCTGAAGTAATTTCTGTACTCTCTTTTTATTTCTAATCTAACAGAACGTATTGCAATATGAAGGAGTAACTTGGAAGACAGATTTTCCTGTGGTGCAAACTAACAGTAAACTTTGTTATTTACTCAGTTCAGAATACTAACAGCCCATTAAATACAGGTCACTTATGGGCATGGATTGGTCTTGTATTGCTGCAAATTCCAATGAATTGTGTCCCTCCAGATGAGAGAATGTCCCTGTCATCTTCAGATCCCTGAGAGTGGGTAGAAAGAGGCACCCAAAGTGGGCCTTCTTTGATGTCTGCTGGCATAGAGCCTGTATGGATTAGGCAGCTGTGTAGTATGTCCTGCTTCACCCAGCTGCTGTGATCCTTGAAGTGGTGTGATTGCTAAATACCTGTTGCAGTCTCTGTGCATTTGAGCTGAGATCCAGTCTAGTCATGCAACACTGGAAATGACTGAATCAGTTCAATTTAAAAAAATCAATAGTCTTTTGCGTGAAATTTCGTCAGAAGATAAGATGGATATTGATATCTCTCTGGAAAGGAAATGAATTCTCATCTTCTTATGTCCTTTCCAACGATGGGGCAGGAGAATGTTTGTTTCCCCCTTGCATTAAGGAGTCAATTGTGAGTTCAAAATATTTTTTCCAAACGCAATGCAGCAACAAGTTCTAATATTAGAAAGAAGATTGGACAAAGGGAGCTCTGACTTGCCTCTACCACTTATTTACTGTGGGAACCTGGGCAAGTTTATGCCTTTTATGCCTTTAAACTTAGCTTGAAGTTCGGACAAAGTTTCTGGATTACCATGGGCTTGGAATTTACATATTAATCAGCATCTCACATACTCAACCGAGATTCAGCCCATCTGCATTCTCTGCCCGTTTCAGTGGATAAAGTCTGTCATCTTGTAGACAAATTTACTGTTAAATCTGCACATGACTTAAACTGCCCTATGTGCCAGTAGCCTGGGACAGGCAACCACAGATGGCCAAATCTGACCCTGCTGTCTTAAGCCAAGGCCTCTGAAATTCTGAAACACTATGTAAGAACAAGTATGATGAACCCACTGCCACTCATCTCTCTACCATGTATTTCCTTTTTGTAGCATGAGAATAATGAAACACACACATTTACCTTAATGCATGGGGTAGTCTGAAGAATTTCCTAACTTTGTTTTATTTATTGAAGTATCTCTGAATCTAGAAGATCACTATACAACTTCTGTTGTTCCTCTTCTAATCGTTTACTATTGCTCACAGTACCCTCTAAAGTGGTCTATTCAATTCCCACAGGATTCCCAACTGGGGAAATGCCATCAGTGCACATTCAAATAAAGATTTTCTGTAGCTGTGTTAAAAAAATACTGTTTAGGTCTCTAGAGAGCAAATCCAGGCTTGAAGCAGTGTCAAAAATCATTTGTAAGTGAATAAAGGGTTGAAATATGCATATTGATGCTAAGACTCAGTTAATTTCCTTGTTGTGGATAACTATAAAAGATGCACAACTGAAAGGGGCCAAGATTTCACAGCACTGCCATTGTTCTTCACCAGTTGGTGCCTTTTGTGCTGGATACTCATCTCACTGATTGTAGTATTTTTCCTGACAGATAAGGACAAGAGGTGATGACTTAGAAACACCTGTCTGGATGCAGTTTATGAATCCTGATTAACCATAAGAAAACTCATTCCCTAAATACTCCTGTGTCGATGGAATTGGTGACATGCTGTCAGAGCTTTGTCACACATGCGTCACATCAGGGAAGCAGAGAAATGTTGAACTGTGATGGCCCCCATTCAGTTAGAGATACTCAGAGGGCACATGTATGAATGTCCCAGATTTTGAGTGCTAGCTAGGTTATTTTAAACGAAAAGGAGAAGAGTCTTCCTGTTCCCTCCATCTCTTTGTCTGGTGCTTTGTCTCTACTAACAAAGGCCCTTGGGAATCTTGAGTGTTGGCAATCAGCTTGGAAAAATTCACCTGGATTGCAAGAGCCTCTTTTCTGACTTTTCTTTTTTTTCACCTCCTTGTAATTTTTCCAAACCTGGCAGCCAGTGGAGACATGTAATTAAAGTTAATTGCGATTGCACAGTGACGCAACAGGCCCCCCTCCCCACTGACATGGCTTCAGGGTGCCTCTGGCTCACATAGGGCTGCTGCCTTCCAGCACAAGTGGGCACACTTCAAAGTGACAAGTCTAAAGAAACATTCTTGTCTCCAAGTCAGCACAGCCCCATGCCAGTCTCCTCTAGTGTGGAGCCACTGACATTGCTTGTATTTGAGCACAGGAGTGTCTCCTGTCTATTCACAGAGGGAGATGGTCAATTTTGCCTTGACCCCCAGGAGTCTCCATTTGCATCATGATCAAGTCAGGCCACATACCCAGCACCTGATGAAGGCAGAAGCCTGACGTTCTGGGCTGGCTTTGAGGAAAATAATGGCTGTGTAAGCCAAGCCATGGTACTCTACAACAGCATTAGGAACCTGGGGTGGTCATTTTCTCAAGGGTTTTAAAGCCTCCTTTTCATGGGCAGCTGTGACAGATCCATGGCAGAGTCTCTGGTACTAATCAATACTTCAGCTGCAATTTTTCTTCCCCGAGGCAGAGGAGGAGACTGACAACACTTTGATGCATTATCAAAGACAAGCCTGTCACATCCCACAGTTATGTACCAAATCCAAAGCTGACTTGTCTCCTTTTTCCAATCCAGAACTCACTGGGAATTTTGCTCCATTGTGCCTCTTTGACACATGATTTCAGAAGTAGCTGCATTAAATAACCTGTCTTGGTTTCTGGTGGAAAAAGCAAACAACCTAAAAAAAAACCTTTCTAAATAGCCCTCAGAATACCTAATTCAGCATCATTATGGGCTGTGTAGTGGCTACTCAATGGACTGCAATATAGTCAATATAAAGAGAGGAAGTGTTTCAGTGGTGCTTTGCCAATGAATGAATTCATTGCTGGATTCTTGGGCAGCACACATTTTAAATAAAGCCCACAGATATGATTTCAATTCCATTTTGACACTAGAATGAATGTTTGATGGCCACTAGTGTTAAATGGCCACTAGACAGGCTATACATAGTGCCAAATTCATCCTCACAAGGCAACTGTCCTGAGGAAGCACTCGCCTGCAGTGAGCTTTTCCTTCCTAGTTAAAAACAGAGCCACAGCCAGAATCAGGTATGAAAGAGTTGGTAAATCTAATTATACAAAAGAAAGTCACTGGTTAGACAATGATTTGCAATGAGAAGTGACCAATAAATGACACAGCAATGAATGAAACCGAACAGCCAGTAAATACATGGAAGAAGGCATGCTTGCCTGAGTAGCTGAGAGGCATTTATCCACATGGTACAGAGCTTAGCAAGCTCCATGCTGTGTCTCTGCCAGACATCAGGCATGGTATGCCACATGTAGAAATGTAGCTACACATGGTCCAGGCAGGCCTGACCATGGCTTTCTCTGACAGTAATAGCACTGCAAGCAACACAAGTTAAAGCTCTGGCACAGTAAGTAGTGTGAGCTGAAGAAAAGCCCAAAAGGGGAGCACAGGCTCAAGTCTTCCCCTCCTCTGTACCACTGGGTTCACCTATAGTTTTTGTCGCTGCAGTTTAGACACAAGCCAAAGTTGGATTCAGACTTTTAGTGCTCAAAAAGAAGGACAGTTTCTGCTAGTGCTTCACACATCCCTAAATAATGTGCTTGTTGCTTTCAATAAAGACTTGGTGGAGTTGTCTGGTAACAAGTACAGGGTTCTGGGTTCAAATTCTTAATTTTACTGTGAATTAGAGAAGAACAGAATGAAGGAGAACAGATGGGCCTGTCATGGTGCCACACACATCACCTAGCATGCAAAAGAAGCAAAGCGGTTAGCTGGAAGTGAAAAATGGAGCAGCAGTTCAGGAGCTGTGAAGCTGAGGAGGTTGGAAACCCTAGGAAAGGCATATTGATAATGAGGCAGAAAAGCTGCAGTTGTTCAATATTAGCAAAAACTCCAGGGATGGAGATCCACAGGGGGCCACAGTCTGTTTCTAAGAGCCTGGGAGACAAAGCCATCAAAACTTCCAATAAATGGAGCTTTCAGACCCCACAGCAGATTCAGCAAACCACACTGAAAGCTTCTTGTTGCGCACAATGAGTATCAGCTGTAGAGTACTTTCAGGGTTCTCTGACAGCTCTGCTGCAGAGAATGATCTTCCTTACCCTGGCTAGCCTCTAATTGCTGTAGTTCATTTCCCCAGAATGCTTTTTTAGCAATTTCCCTACAGACATAGTCTGTATAAAATTTGTATTAATCATGAGGATTAACATGTTATTAGTGCAGGAACACCTTGTGAAGGAAACAAATTTTACCTTGATGTTTTGGAATCAATGGTCAATCTTTTTAACTAACAGAGTTTAGCAGAGATCTGTTCCCCTTCTGTCTCCTTCATGCCCAAATGTACACAGCTAACTAATCAAGCGTAGTAGACCTTTTCTGGATTACAAGATCTTTTCAGATCCTTAACTCTATGCTTTCCCATATCTCACACAGAGGGCGCTTTGCTAGCTCTTTTTCAGAAATGAGATTCACAAGCTACCTGGATCCTCTTTGCAGTTAGGGAAATAATTACTTTACGCAATATAATTTGCTTAAAACCATGACAGTTTTAACTATAGTTTAAGGCTAAATGACTGTTCAGCAAGACAGCTGGTAAAATTCACCCTATAATAAGACTGAAGCAATGTAAACAAGCCCAGCCCATTTAGGGCTTTGAGTTAATATAGATGTCAAATACTTCTTTCAATATCTCCCAATTTCCCAAACCATCAGACATTTTCCTCCTTTATAAATGTATTTATAATAGATCTCATCCTTTATCACCTAAACCCATAACATATGCCTGT